CATACTAGATCCATGTTTCATGTTACCTATCCCGTTTTATCTCTTTAGGTCGATCGTTGATTGAACAATTTGCCTTGTCATATAACTATGCAATGACCGTACACACTGAATGAGAGGTCTCGAAATTTATGACGTCAGTAAATACTGCATGTTTTGTCGCCTCTGCTTTATTCACTTTTATTCCGGGAAAACGTTGCTTCAATTTTTGCAATTAATGGCTTGCATGCCGGCCATCAAGCAATTAGCGCACCAGCGGTCAACAATTCTTGATGAGGGGGAGAACGGTTAATTACCATAGGTATGCGGTAGCATAGCGACTGAATCCAATAAATACAGCAACTTCCTGTGCACGAATCACCCGTTTCTGTCAATGTCTGAGTGCGGGTTCAAATGTGAATCCGAAACGTCATGCGAATGAAGCCCTTGTTCCATCGACCGCTTCTACTTCTTATCAAGGCTAACCTGGTCGGGCGTGATCATAGCCATGCTAAGTGCAATTAGACACCAGACTTCATTCTAGGAGCCCTAGTCTGCAACCATGTGAAAGCGCCATTTAGGCTAACTTAAGAAGCATCCACCTTATTCAACGGCCTCTCTTGGAGTATTGCGAAATTTGATTGTCAGTTGTCTGTTCTGAAAGTCACAACAGTTGGCATGTCATGATGGTTTTAGAGCAGGACTGGCCGTTTAATAAGCAATTAAGCACAAGGACGGCGCTCCTCTCTGACCCAGTGTCTCGCTCAAAGTTACTCTAACATAAGGACTGGCTAAATGGCTGTTCCGGTGTCTCAAGTTCCTGATCGCTGAGTCAGACACCACGGTTTCTTCATTAGCACAATTCCGGGAGAAACTCAAAGGGGTAAGCATCCATCCAAATGAGGTCATGGTATCTTTTGGTGTTACATCACTTTTTAATTCTATTCCCCAGGACCTGGCGATCGAGACGATCGAGCTGCTTCTACACAGCAAATACGATGAAACGGAGGATCCTCTTTGACACGCCCAAGTCCATCAGATCCTAAAGTTCTGTTTCAGGAAGAATTTCACGTTCGACGGGACAATCTACGAACGGGTGAAGGGCACACCAATGGGTTCGCCGATTTCGGAATTCATCTCCGAGGCGGCCCTGCAACGGTTAGAGTCGCTGGTCTTCCAACACCGCAGACCGATGTTTTGGGAGCGGTATATGGATGATATCTTCGTCGTTATCGACCGGGATCAACTGCTAACATTCAAGGAACGTCTGAATGCGGTCTTCCCGGACATACAATTTACGATGGAGGAGGAAGAGAACAACCAGTGGTCTTCCTGGATGTCCTCGTATGCCGCAAAGATTGTGGTGGACTAAAGACCAATGAGTTCAGGAAAGCGACAAATACGATGCAAGTACTGAACTTCAACAGTAACCACCCAATCAGCCACAAACGCATCTGTGCAAGGACGCTCCGTCGGCGTGTCGAAACGCGTTGCAGTGAGCCGGAAGACAAGAGTTTCGAACAAAAATACCTCCTACGAGTCTTCAAAGCCAATGCTACCCGCGCAACGTCGTCAACCGGTGCATGCGCAAAAGGGACGAAAGGCCTAACCGCACGGACACCAAGTCTTGGCGGGCACTTCCGTATGTCAAGAACGTTTCGGAAACTGCCGACCGCCTTCTAGCACCACCTGGGGTTGGAGCTGCACACAGACCGGAGCCAACCATTAGGCGTCAGATAATGAAACCGAAAGACCCACTGCCACGGCAAGAAACGTCTAGAGTCGTTTAACGGATCTGGTGCAGTTGGGGACAAAGCAACTACGTCGGAGAAACTGGAAGACAGTTTCGAACGAGAATGGCCGAGCACGCTGCAGCGGTGCAGAAAGGTGAAGCCAGCGATGCCGAAATTCTCGCAAGAGTTGACAACCGCGTGAGCCGGGAGCTACTCGAATCATGGTTTACTGACCCCAGTTAATTAACAAGTGCAATGAACTTCCTCTTGCATACTCGGTGCTGAGACTTCGCCTTGGCAGAGTAATTAGCCACGCGGGGAGCGTACAAGTGAACACTTTTCCCAACTCCTGGGTCGGTGGGTCAGATGGTCGAGCAATCATCACACCAACATCCAACGCACGCGATGAAATTGCAGCAATTAACTAAGCAAATGTCGACCATCAAACAGTCATCACACCACTTGCAACGATCCCTGATGAAGGGGGGAGTCGTGAACATTCATAGGTATGCGGTAGCATGGCGACTGCATCCTATAAATACTGCAGCCCCTTGTGCATGAACCACCCGTATTTGCTTTTGTCTTTGAGGCTGGGTTCGAGCAGGAATCAGAAACGTCGGGCTAATAAAGCTCTCGTCCCTGCAATCATGTTTCTTTCTTCAAAATTAGGCGTTCAATTCAAACTGGATCGCTATCACGCTCTTTCTTCGACCCCCATACACCAGGCACGTGTGCAGGTTCAGACGACTGAGGATGTGATTGGCGAAAAAGCTTACGTAACCCAAAATCTTCCTTTATCGGTTGACACACACACACACACATACACAGGTGGGGATCTGATGAAAGTTAGAGCTGTCATAAAGCAACCTCAGGAGTTTGACCTTCATTCCATAGGAGGATTCGTTGATGTATCACATAGTGATGGGTCCAGGCGCCTGCTAAGGGTGGCGATTTCTTGATGTTGGCGTGAAAAGGGGAAGACAATCCCTGCAACAAGAGCTTTGTCCACCTGGTGTTTCGGACTCCCGCCCAAAGCCTTCATCGAAAACAACAACAGCGGATACGCGTAATTCATACACAAATGCATGCAGTATTTATGAGATGCAGTCGCCATGCTACCGCCTACCCCTGAAAATTCATGGTTCTCCCCTTCATCGGGAATTTTTGCACTTGGTGTGATGAATTTTCGATGGTCGGCACTCGAGTCCTTGATCATTGCAGTTTTATCACCTGTGTTGGGCGTTGGTGTGGTGTTTACTCGACAGTCTGAGCCACCGACCCTGGTGTTGGGAATAGTGTTCGCCTGTGCGCTTCCGACGAGACTACTTTCTCCACCAAAGTCAGGACTCACTGTCGGATGCGGAAAAAGAAGGTGATTGCACTTGTTAATGGTTCGCCCACTACTATGCGCATTGACAAGCCTGCATTGCTGGGTGTGTGTGTGTGTGTGTGTGTGTGTGTGTGTGTGTGTGTGTGTGTGTGCAGTGACTGGTTATTCTGTGCGCGCTTATGCAATGAGTAGATGTGGAAGGAACGATGTAAGAATTACCTATGGGTTTTATTTTCATGGTCGTTGTCGTATATGCCTACATTACTGGATAGATCCAAACAGTGCCGACATATGGGGATTGGAGTTGGGCACCCGATGTATCCAGAGACGTTCAATAGGGTTAGAATGGATTAGGTAGGTGAGGTGTAGTATTTACTATCATTTACAATAACCCTAAATTTTTTCGGTTATTTCGAGATACCGTCTTCTGCATGCTCGACGTTCCAGCCGCCTCAAGAAATTACAATGTCTCAGCATGATTACTGGTGAAGTTCTTTTTAACATTGGGTATCAGTAAAAACCCTGCAAGTACAGTGCGTAACCGATCTCATGAAATGTTGACCGAAATTATAGAATGCGCTTTCGCTTAGGAAGGATTACTTAGGTAGGGCTGTAATATTAATCTTCACGCGACATAATCCCATAATATTTCGAACTCCCCAAGATGTCAGCTTTTGAATTCACCTCTTTTCGACCTCCTACAGAATGGCACTGGACAAACAAATGGCTACTTATGTAGCATGCATTTTTCGCATTGAGTTTTTATGGTCTTATAAATTCAAATACATTTAGTAGAAAACACGTATAAAAGTATGCTTTCTTTTATTCGTTGGGTAGAGAACCACGTTTTCTGTACATTTTAGGTCCGCAGCAAGGCTATATTTAGGTTTTAAAAAAGTTTCTAATTATGGGGCTGTTTAAAACCATGCAATGTCCATTCATGCAGCATCGTACCTGTCCGTTTGCCAAGGCTTCTCATAAAATTTGCAACGTAGTCCGCATCCATTGCAAGTTTTTATGAACACCATATGGCATCTTTTTAAAGAAGTAGAGGAATTTATGATTTTTCTTATGCGGTAAGCAGGCACCTTGCAGACTGAAATAGCTAAACGATAATGCAACGGCTGACCGGGCTGAAAATTATTCGGAAAGTGGGAAACGTTTTCAAAACCTAAATGTACCCTTTCGGCGGACATAAAGTTAAAGAAAACTTGGTTCTCTACTCAATTAACAAAAAGAAAGCGCATTTTGTACGTATTTTCTACGAAATATGTTTGAATTCGCCGTTGCTGAGCCCACTTGGTGTAGCAGACTCTGGAGGTCGTCGTTCACTGCAGTCAAAAAGTTAAGTCACAGTAGGTGAGACAACTCCTAATATGCCCTGACAGAATTCCGAAAGAGTAGTAGGCGGCGCATGAGCGGCTGTCATTTTTACTTACTAGGTCTATTTCTGGTGTAAATACCTTCTTTTTATAAAATGGGCATTCTACCTATTTTTCTGGATGCCATTTATCGTTTTATACGGTTGCTGGTTTCTGTGTAATTGTAGGGAAGACATTTCTGTCGTTTTGTATGTTCAATTTTGTAGTCTCTGAACCTGCCACTGATGCCTGTTGGTGTCCACGTTGCCCTGCCAACCCACCTTTCCTCTTCGCACTAACCGTATTTGAACGACGGTGTGCCATTCCCAGGCAAAAGGGTCTAGCTGAACGTTTCCATCGACAGCTAACGACGGCCTTGCCGGCTCGGCGAGTCATTAAGTGAAATCCCCTTTACTTGCAGAAGGTCATTGTCGAGCCATTTGAAGGCAGGGTGCTGTAGCTAGCTGGTCAGCACTTGGAATTCTCCACGCCCTCCACGAAAGTGCTTCCACATTTGGCCCCTGTTGACATTTACCTTTCCCTTTTTTGTAATCCTCTTTCGGGCGTGATCAGCGTTCTTTTAATCAACTGGTTTTTGTATTCCGACCTTGAGCTGGGAATTCGATTTGCTCGAACAGTCAGAAAGGAATTCTTTGTCCAGAGTATTCATTGTCGAGGTTTGTGTGTTTTTTATTATTACCTTATTTTACCAATAGTACCGTATATACTCCGAAATCTGTTTTGGCTCAATTTACCAATAAATCTACACAGGGTAATGATTAGAACACGTTGTTAGTTGCTAAGGCGCACATTCATGGGTGAAGTCGGTACGAAGGCGCACATTGTTCCTAGGCCCCAATTCTGAAAGAGCATTTATTCCTGTGAGTAGGTCCTATTTTTAGACTAATCTACTCAGGAGAAATACCCGGTCAAATATTGTAAGACATTTCCAGCTGCGAAACAGTGACACAACTAAGGGCCTGACACCTTTCCCTTCGCCTCCCTGACAAGACTAGATTATAACCCCTGACCTCTGGAGACACTCAACCCTCTCCCGCATACTTACTGTTGACTGGCTATTTAGCTTTTACTATTCCTCAGTTTGACCTAACAGTGAAAAACTCGGAGCCTCGATGCGATTCAGACCCAAGACAGCAAGGGGGAGCTTCAGTACAGCCAACGTTCTAACAATCTGAGCTACAAGGCTCCGCCGGAAGACGCAATTTTAATCATATTTGAGTCCAATTTGACCGCCCAACTTACTGCAATGTCTGATACCACCGAATGGGATAAAGTAAACTGACTGTCCACGCAGGATTTCCTATATAATACATCTGGAATCCACCAGATGACTACCAGGCTCCCGTAATTCATACTCCACCCTCCCCTTCATGCTACTGTACAGGCTTTTTGATGAATAATCAAGGGGTAGGTTTGCCGAACTCGAATTCGTAAATGTTTACATGAGTGTCTACACAGGGCAATGATTATAACACGTTGTTAGTTGCTAAGGCGCATAGCGATCCCAGGCCCCCATTCTGAAAGAGCATTTACTCCTGTGAATAGGTCCTATTTTTAGACTAATCTTCTCAGGAGGTCTACCCGGTCAAATGTTATAAAACATTTCCTGGAGCGTAAATTGCGTCAGCTTCAGCCTTCAGAAACTGTCAATAGCTTAGATGGGCACTATATTCGGAGAGCGACCAATCTGGCACTCAACAACAGACGTTATTAACATTGTGAAGCATGTCATCGACTGCAATGACATTCACTGGCATCGAATGGACACTCATATTGTACTCAATGGTATTCCTTTATATCTACTAACGCTTGAGGCTTTAACCTAACTCTTTCAATAAACAGCCGACTGCCCCGCTTACAACCATCAAATCATTTTCATTCCTGTCAACAGCTCTGCTACTAATCCCACCAGGAGTATTTTACACTT